TTTGATGGTGCAGTTCTTGAGGAAGTCTTCTTCCAGGTGGCTCATAAAAAGGTTGGCATACTGTGGGGCCATTTTAGTGCCCATAGCTGTTCCCATCATCTGGAGGAAGTGTTGATTATTAAAAGTGAAATTGTTGTGTGTGAGGATGAAGTGTATAAGCTCAGTGATATCTTTGGGTCTGTATTCTGGGTTGTAATCTTGTTCCTGTAGATATGTAAGGCAGGCATGGATGCCATCCTGGTGTGGGATGTTGGTGTATAGGCTGGTAACGTCCATGGTGGCTAGGAGTGTGTTCCTGGGAAGGTGGTCTATGTTTTTAAGTTTCCGTAGCAAGTCTGTGGTGTCTTGGACAAAACTTGCTCTGTGGGTGACAAGCGGTTTTAGGATGGATTCAACAAAACCTGATATTTCCTCAGTTAGGGTCCCATGGTTGGATATGATAGGTCTGCCAGGGTTCCCTTGTTTGTGGATTTTAGGGAGCATGTAAAAAGTCCCTGGGTTAGGTAGCGGGGGGATCAAGGTCTGTAGTTTTTCTTGTAATCTTGGTGGAAATGATTTGATGGTATTGTTGAGTTTTTTGGTGAAAAGGGGAGTAGGATCTTCTTGTAGTTCTTTGTAGTAGGTGGTGTCAGAGAGCTGTCTGTTGGCTTCCTTTATGTAATCCTCACGGTTTAGGATGACTATGGCTCCTCCTTTATCTGCTGGTTTTATTACTATTTGGTGGTTAGATCTTAGAGATTCTATGGCCTTTTTCTCTGGTAGAGAGAGGTTGTTATGAGTCAGAGGTCAGAGTATGTAGTGTTTCTTTCAATGTCCTTCAGGGATCTGAATATGTCTGAATGGATCTGGCATACTGTATAGCTTGGCAGTACTGGTAGAAATTTAAGTTTGCAAAGGGTCTGTGCTAAAATATACAGTATGCAGTTTTTATGCCAGTGATGATTATAATATGCATAGTCCTTATTTTCACGTTAGTCATCATTGTGCCTGATCATACTATAATGCATTACTCATATTGAAATAAATACAATAAATGCCCTAAAATTGCCATTTAGCAAATAATTGTGGAGTCAGTGTTCTGAAAGGCATAAGGTTGAAAATCATTTCCACTCTAAGCATTTGTTTTTATAAATGTCTTCTACTTTTCTCTTTTTGGCCTGCAAAATCCAATATATTTTCTCTCAAAGTGACTGGAGGAAGGGGCTGTTAAAGCAAATCATCCAAACACCTTCTGAGCATCAATACTCACATTTTCCCTTTTTCTCTCCTCTGCTTCTTTCAGCCTGCAGCTTCCAAATCCCTTTGACTTTTGTTTAACTTGTATAAATGTGTGTGTTGCACTGTGAAATAGTTTTAATGTAGCTAGTGTAAGTTTGCTTAATGGACATTCTGGAGAAAAACTCCTGAACTTTATTTAGGCTTGATATTGGAAAAATCTATAAATTATCTGCCTGGATTGCAAGCAGCACAAACCTCAGTTTCTACAATAACACAGGGTGGGAAAGAATGCAGGATGTTCTGACTCAACAAACCACCTACAGTACCTAAAGCACAATTGTAAATTAGATTTGAAAAGGCTTTCAAGGCTTTTATGCACTACATTTCTAGTTTTTCTCAGACAGATTGATCTTCTCTTCAAGACTTTAGGTCTCAGTTGCCAGGCAGATTGTAATGTATCAAAAATCCAATGTCTGTGTTTAGTCCCTGATCTCTAGTATCCAGCAGGTTGATGAAAAAATTTGCGATTTCCTAGTTGGTCTAATAAGAGGTATCATTTCTGAACCAAGAGTTCTAGATTTTTGCCTTTCTTTTTGTCTCAGACCAACCTGGCTACCAAATACATCCCTTAAATTATTCCGTTCATTCATCAGGAAAGAGCCAGGCCAGCAGGGACGAGAAGAGGAGGGCAGCAGCACTGCCAGACCTCTGGGAACGCAGGAAGAGGTCATGGCCAGCTCAGCCCAGGCAGGACCCTGCTGCCAGGGGGCTGAAGCCTCCTCATATACTCTGTGCTTTCCCTCCTTCCCCCTTCTGGGCTTTGGGTAGACTAGAGGTTTGTTTAAGTAGCCTGTTAGCTCCTTCCAGCCTGCTTCCCCTACCTGTGTACTTGCAGTTAATTACTTAATTGAGGAGTCATTAGGCTGCCCATTGTTTTCCTCTTTAACCGCCCTGGCCTCTGTCTTCACTGTCCAGTAACAGGGGTAGGGTTCCCGGTTACACTCCCATTTCTATAAATTTTGATTATTACTGCTGGCAATATTTTTGGTTGGTCTGTGAGTGTGAGGTAAAATCAAAGTTTATCGATAAAAATTGGACCTTGCCAAGATTACCCATGGGACTGCCAGCTTCAAAGGTTTTAAGCCTAGTTGATTAGAGAGGTGAAAATCTTCCTTATGCAGTGCTAATACAAAGCTTGTATTTCAGGTACTTCCACTCTATTTTGAGGACCTGAACAGGACTCCTCAAAGATGTTTGGTCCCTAATGTTTTATATAGCCCTTTAAAGCCTATAATAGAGATTCAAGGTAGTGAAACAGCATGATCAAAGAGAATTTTCATTATGGTAGAGAAGCTAGTAGGAGGATCCAGTCAGGTTCAAGACTCTGCTAAAGCAGTAGACAATCACGCATGAAAATGTGTGACTTGATATAATGTATAAGTACTTCCCAGTTAATAAAGGGATCTTTAATCTAGTGGAGAAAGGTTTAAGAAGACCAGTTGCTGGAAGTTAAGGCCAGAAAAACTCAAATTAGAAATAAGATGCACCTTTTTAACCCTGATTCTGGTTACTCATTGGAACAAATAAGCTACTGTGCCTGTCAGAGAAAGCATCTCTTGATATCTGTAAAACAAGACTGGACACCTTTCTACAAGTTACTGGCTTTGATATAAGGTGGAAAGCTGGGTGGAATTTTGCAGCTTCTGTTATACAAGAGGTTAGAGCTGATGATCTTCTGTCCATAAAACCCATGAACCTAAAAGAAATAGTCTATCCCCTGAGGAGCTGGCAATCAGCATTTCAGATGCTCAAGGTTTTATCCTCATATTATTTTACTAAATAATCTAGAGAATATCATATCCTCTAGTTTTACATTTTCAAGCCAAACACTTCTTACTGCTTTTTCTATAGGAATATGATTTAAATCAGATTAGTGAACCACAACACAGAAGGTCTATAACACTGTTTTAAAAAACTACACAAAACAACATGATGCGAGATGAGTTTACCATCGGGGTGAGGAGGATGTGGGAAGAGGTGTGGTGAGCAGGACCCTTTCCCCAATGATCTGTTTTGTTGTGGGGTTTCTTAAGTTAAGAATTTGAGAATAACAGGTTCATCCAAGTGTGTAACAGCTCCTCCCAAATTCTGATTTAAAGTTAAAGTGTTTCCAAACATTACATCAGTTGCATACAATCCACACACGCTACTACAGTTAACATTTGTTTTAAACTATAGTTAAAGAAAATGTATATTCTCTCATAAGAGTCTAATTTAATTCAGGAAATGCATAGAGAACACTGAAAATCTCAGAGAACCTTTTCCTTTTCTTTTTCCATAAAATCATTTTTGTTTATTTATTTATCTATGTAATGAAACTCCTGTTCAAAGTTCAACTCTGACATGATTTTTTTTTTTGGTTGGACCTGTAGTTTTCCATTACTCTGTGTATAATCAATTTAATCATACATACAGGTACAACATTATGATGTAAAGCAACTTGTTGCCTTGCTAAATATGCCAGTTTTCTGTTTACTAAGTGTTTTGCTTAAATCAGCCTCATTCTAAGCATTCTTGATTTAGATTGCCATCTCTCTAGTCACCTTATATCTTCCTACTTTTGTTCCAAACAGTTCAGGAATTCTGAGTGAAGAAGTGATCCTTTAGTCGAATCCAACCTCTGAAGATTTGTGCATAAGTTTTAGTTCCTGCAGCTTTGAGACTTACATTTTTTCTGGGCTGGAAAACTTGGATTCATGCATACAATAATTTGCACATGTAAAATACGATTGAAATAATTTATTTTGCCCTTAGATAATGAGTGATTGTTCTTAGCACTCTTTTCTCCAATTTGGTCTTAAACTCAACCCTTTACAACCTCTAAGGGAGGTGCCAGAAAATAGAAGGGGAAGTGGAAATCCATTATAATAAATAGAATGGACTGTTTCCTGTTGAAAAATATTTCTGGCTGTTCATCCTAGTTTTTCTTGTACTTAATTTTTTGCCATTATTTGTGCAGTAGTTATGTGACTTTAAAAGGCACTTTACAATGCTCAATTTTTATATTTTTCAAACACGGGTTTGGCATGTTATCACTAAACTGTTATTTGTGAAGATGTAAGTTGGTCAAGTAGAACCTGTTTATCCTCTAGTTACTAGTGGTTTTCAAATTTCCTCATGTCGCAGAGCTCTTTCATGTAATTTATGCTGCAGAGTCCCTACTCCTATCCTAAAGACTGATGTGGAGCCAAGTGACTTGGCCCAGCAATGACAGCACACCACCTCCCAGCCCATTACCCCCAATCTCTTTGCAGAACTGCTGATGACTCATCATGCCACCATAGGGTTCCACAGAAAACCACTGCTCTAGTACAAATGATCAACTGTCATTTCTTATTTTAATGTATCAGTCAGTGAGTTCTTCATTTTTTGCACATTTAGCTTCTGCATTTTAGCATTTAACGCAGTGGGTCAGTTGTACTGGTTAATGAAATGTGGCTGAAATTCAGCTTTTTGCAAAGGTCCAGCACAAGGTTATATGCATATAAAGTCCTATTTTAGACCTATTTTAAATTTAGGCCCAGAGCTGAATTTCACCCTGTAAAGTATAGATGATTAAGTTCCTTGATGAACTGAAGTCAGAGTATATGATTGAAGTCACTAAAGTCAGTGGCAAAACTTCCATTGAATTAAATCCTTCAGGATTTAATATATTGTCTGAATATAAAACACAACAAGTTATAAAATTGATTTTTCCCCTTATTTTTGTTTTTATACACAAGAACACTGGAATTATTTTGGAGCAGATGAAAACCTTGGTCCAGTCGCTGTGAGTATTAGAAGAGAAAAACCAGAAGAAATAAAAGAAAACGGACCTCCATACAATTACCGCATTATTTTCAGAACCAGTGAGGTAAGCAGCATATGAGCAAAATGGCAGTGAAAGATGCTAATGACAAACAGGCAAAGCCATAGAGCACACTGTGAAGCTGTAGGCCCTGAAAGGGTTTGTCTCGCAGATATTAGAAACCAGAAGGAAATTTGTGGTCTGCCCATCGTTGATAAATTTGTCTCTCTTCCACATGTACAAGGTCCAGTAATTTCCACACAAAGAACTATATACATTACATTTTCCAGAATAGTGATAAATATGTCACTAAGGCCTTAGGCACATGTTCATTTGTAGCACTACAGGGTACCTCAGCACTTTGTATTGCCCCCAAAATAGGGTGCTGTTGGACCATACACATGTGCACAACCTCTTAGTGGTAAAGATGTATTTTCCAGTTGGGGGGCAATAGGGAACTGTTCTTTAGCCTCCAAGGGAGCCTATCAGTGAACCTCAGAAACAGGCTCAGCCAATCAGCCACTGCTGCCACAACAACAGCTGAGTGAGCTGCCTGCACCCTACCTGTGGTAACAGCTTATCAGGTGATCTTGGCCACTCAGTTAGCCATTGTGGCCATTGCAACCTAATCAGCTTTTTGGTGGAGGAAGGAAGCAGTGGCACTGTGGCAAGCAGAGCTGTAGGTCTGCTTCCCATGGCTGTCAGGGAGCCAGCCACTGTCCTTCCTTCCCCCTTGGAGGAGAGAGGAAGAGGAGAGCTGTCTTGGATGCTGCTGGCCTGAGAAGCCCCCTGTAGTACTACATAAAACTGCATGTGGTACATGTAGCACTGCAAAAGTTACTTGTTTGAAACAACAACTTTTTTGTGGAAGATTGCTGTCCTTTGCAACCTTTGTAGTGCTGCAGACAGCCTGAAAGTATGGACCATTTGTTTTTTGTAACACTATCAGGAAATCAGTAACAGTACAAAAGTAATGCGTCTCCAAAGTCTGTGTGAATTATATAATAGCATTTCAGTAATAGCAGTGTATTTAAGGAAATCACTTTGGTTAGGGCATGGAAGGATGTACTGGACCTTTCCTAGCCTTAGGGCTGGCACATTTCATACTTTAGCCTCTGGTGCATTGGTCTGAGAAGTCCACTGTGTTTCTAACTGTGGAAGATATGGAGGAGGCAGATAAGACAGGTGTATACAATTAGGTTTGTCATCAGCTGCTGCATCTGGGCTTTGCACTGATCTAATTTTTCCTACGTAGCAGATGTTTGAGAGAAGTGAACTGTTCCTTCTCAACCTTTCATTCTGCTAGATGACTGAAAATTGTGACACACTTCCTCTGCTTTCCTCTCTCGCTGTGTCACCAATTATTGTTTATAGCAAAGACATTTTAGAAGAGTAAGGCCAACTTCACCTCTGCTGTTAATATTCTTTAGCGCAACTAGAGTGAAGATGAATGAATTCGTGCATTTATCAGTCTACCACTCTGTAAATCTAAGTAATAGAAACTATTAATCTTCAACTGCTGCTAAGCGTGTTGTCCATTATGTATACATACATACAGGTGTTGGTCTCTTCCTTCTATAGGTAGATTTCTGGAACAGCAAAGTAAAATCCCAAGTGTTTGGTCAATCTTATTCCCACAACAAAAGTAAAGCTGACCCCTGACCCTTTTAAAGTTCATTTCCCTTCAGCAAAGGGATTGTCAGCAAAGAATATTGCCAATGACAGTTAAGGAAGAGCACTTGTTTAAAGTGTGGATTCAGAATGGTGTTCTCTCTCTCTGCTGAGTGTTGTTATAGGGGCATAAATATAATAAGTTTGTTAGCAGCAAACAAAGATACAGTGCACACTATAAAAGCAAATATAGATTTTCTGCTGTTACTTTATGTACTTTCCTAACTTAACTCCTTAGCCTTGTCTTTTAAAGGAATTGCAACTTTCCTTCTCATGTCAGCTTCAACTAAAGTTCTTCATAAGGCTGACATAACTTTTCTAATGGACAGTGCTCAATTTATCCTATCAAAAGTATTCAGTTCAAAGGCAGTTCAGTGCAGAACTGGGACTCTTGTTCCCTATTTAAAACTGAAATGCTAATAAACAAAGATTAGAGTACATCTTGTAGACCAACTCACGCCAAACTTAGAACACCCACTGTTTTTATGTCTACTAAAATAAAGCCTTATTTTGGGATTTTTTTTTTCATACTAACATGTCTGTTTTATTAGGGTGGGTACAAATGCCATGTCTTACAGCAGGATGTTTGTTGATTTGGGTCACTAAATAAGATAATGAAAATGTGTTTTTTAAAAGTTGGGATTATTGTGCTTTCTGTACTGAAAGTAAAATCATGCTTGCATGATTTCTTGCTGCATAAATAATTGCACAAATGAGCTTTTAAACTCCATTACCAGTGTAAATTAAACTCAGTTTGGTAATAATCTTTCATTACTAAACTTTTTTCTGTTAGTATGTGAAGTAGTTTGATTGTCCTCTTTCCACTTTTTAATGAATAAAGCCTCTGGTGGACTTTCAAATGATGGTGTGATTGGGATCAGAGCAATTTCATGATGCATCCTAAACCTCGCGCTTCTTGTCGTGCCAGACATCTGTGGCAGGAGGTGTAGTGTTTGAGATAGGGCATAACATTCCTCCAGTTCCAATAGTGCCACTGCTGAGCTCCAATCCCAGTAGCACCTAGCCTGATCCTGCAGATTTGGGTTGGAAGTGGCTCGGTCCCAGACCTAGAACTGCCCTTGGCTCTCCCTGAAGGTTCCAGACATGGGGCTTTCAGGGCCAGGTCCAGCAATCAGCTGATTGTTGGACCAGCCTCTATAGTCCCCTTAGAAGTTGGGGACTGATTGTCAGCCTAGCTGTGGGACAACTGAGATGCACACATGGTTTTTAGATGTTCCAGGCTACTGGAACCCTGGGATCAGGGACCCTCTCTGCCACCCCAGGGCTCCCAAGCCCCAGGAACATCTAAAAAGCATGGTTTCAGCCCAGCTGCCTGCATTTTTAACCCACCATTTTTAAGTGCCCTGTCTTGCAGGGGCTGTAGGACAAGGCAGAAAAAGCTGCCAGGCTCAGGAGTTGCCAGGTTTGCAGCAGTCGGAGCCGGTTAGCTCCCCTGCCAGGGAACCTTGCAACCCCCTCTCCCAGTAGCTAATTTTCAGGACTGGGACCAGGGTTAAACCTATAAATGTAAAATTTTTCCTCGGGCATGTAGGTTGTAGCCGTGTTGGTCTAAGGACATAGGCAGACAAGGTTCCTTGGGTGAATCTGATATCTTTTATTAGACCAACCCAAATAGTTGGTTGAATAAAAGATATGAAAGAATGAACAATGAAATAAGCGGCAACACACGCCACCATAACGACCTCTCTCTACCAGAGAAAAAGGCCATAGAATCTCTACGATCTAACCACCAAATAGTAATAAAACCAGCAGATAAAGGAGGAGCCATAGTCATCCTAAACCTTGAAGACTACATAAAGGGAGCCAATAGACAGCTCTCTGACACCACCTACTACAAAGAACTACAAGAAGATCCTACTCTCCATTTCACCGAAAAACTCAACAATACCATCAAATCATTTCCATCATGACTACAAGAAAAACTACAGACCTTGATCCCCCCGCTACCTAACCCGGGGACTTTTTACATGTTCCCTAAAATCCACAAACAAGGGAACCCTGGCAGACCTATCATATCCAACCATGGGACCCTAACTGAGGAAATATCAGGTTTTGTTGAATCCATCCTAAAACCGCTTGTCACCCACAGAGCAAGTTTTGTCCAAGACACCACAGACTTGCTACGGAAACTTAAAAACATAGACCACCTTCCCAGCAACACACTCCTAGCCACCATGGACGTTACCAGCTTATACACCAACATCCCACACCAGGATGGCATCCAAGCCTGCCTTAGATATCTACAGGAATAAGATTACAACTCAGAATACAGACCCAAAGATATTACTGACCTTATACACTTCATCCTCACACACAACA